CCTCATCTGCCTGGGCATCCTTGTTCATCCTCATCAGGCTGTTGTAGGTCACAGGCAGGATCCATCTGTAGGAAAGGGCCAAAGGGATTAAGCTCTCCCTCTTCCCTGGCTGCCATCACTCCTGGGTGTCACAGGAGCATCCAGAGTCGGGCTGGATTCAGGGGTGGGGACCACAAGCAGTTGAGTCATCCAGGCAAGAACATTTCCTCCTCCTCAGTGCTCCAGCTCTGCCTCCTTCTTCATCCAGCACTTGCATTTTCCTCGTTGCCAGAACAAGTTCTAACAGCCAGGCTCGTTCGTGGTGCTCCATCCAGGAGATCCTGATGGTGACTCCCTCCATGATCCAGCTGCTCAGGGGGCACAGGGCATGGCCAGCACAGTGCTGAAGACCAGATTACCTACCTTGGTCACAGGAGAGCCTTGTGTCAGCATCACACACCCGCCAGAGGGGTGGGACAGGCTGGTGCTGCACTGTGGAGCCTGGCCCTGTGCCCTGTCCCTGCTGCCATGGCCAGGGACTGCCCTCCACCTTTGTGTCTCCCAGCCCACACTCAGGGGGCTCACGGGTGACTCCTGAGCTGGGAAACCTCTGGAGCCAGTTCTTCCAAATATGGAGAGGTTGGGTTTTGCAGGCAGCACTTCCTTCTTCAGGGAAAAGGAGAAGTGTGGTGGTTCAGGGCGCTCTGAGGAAACCAAGTGCTGTTACCAAATGCTTTACATTGAGAACGTGACCTAAGCTGCATCCAGTGGCTCAGAAGAAGGTCTGGGTCCTTTGCCCCCCATTATTTCCATGCCCCAGTTCCACTGAGGAAATACTGGGTCTATGCCATCAGCACTGTCATCACTATCAAGTCCCCCCCATCCCAGTTTGGACTGCCTGGAACCACTTGAGTCTTCACCAAGACGTTGGACACAGCTGGACCTCTCCTGACAAACATTTCCTCGGTGGAAGTGGTGGATGTTAACAGGCCATGGGACATGGGACATGTCTTTCCATCCCTGCAGGCTGCTCAGGAGTGGTTTCAGGAGTGGAAGCCCCAGGGTGGGTGCCCAGGGGTGACATTCAGCTCCCGTTCAGCCTGTGGGGATTGTTGGCTCCAGGCCTGGGCTCTATGGCAACAGGAACCCGAGAGCCGGAGCGGAGACGGTTGCCATCTGAAGTAACATGTTTGACAAAGAGATGGAAGAGTTTATAAGACATACCAGTCTTTTTTTATAAATTATAACCTTTTTATAGGAGTGCTTTTCGAGGGTGATGGTCAGCATTTCAGGTAGATAACAGGATAGCCCTTTATTCACAATTGTGGTACTTGCTTATCCTTTATTCCATCCTGGTTAGTGGTTATTCAGTTTATAGTAACTGAGGCACAGCTGTTGATTTTGTTGGTGGCCTCAAACAACAGATGATGGAGGTACAGAGGGTTTCCTTAAGAGCTCACAGGTGACTTACAGATCTCTGGTGTGCCCAAGTCCTGCTCAGGTGCCTCATAGAATCATAGAATATCCTGAGTTGGAATGGACCCTCGAGGATCATCCAGTCCAGCTCCTGGCCCTGCCCAGGACACCCCAGCAATCCCACCCTGTCCCTGAGGGCATTGTCCAAACCCTCCTGGAGTTCTGGCAGCCTTGGTGCTGTGCCCACTGCCCTGGGGAGCCTGGGCAGTGCCCAACCACCCTGTGGGGGAAGAACCTTTCCCTGAGATCCAACCTGACCCTGCCCTGGCACAGCTCCAGCCATTCCCTGGCTCCATCAGCAGCAGTGCTGACAGAGGGTTGGCAACTGCAGGAACTCTCCAGTTACTCCTTCACATCCCAGGGGTGAAAAGGAGAAGAATTGGAGCACAGGGGGTTTTGTCAGAAGGGTTAAGTCCACATTCTTAGAAGTCTTACCATCGGTGCGGTTTTCAGACATCCTTCCTTCACCAGTTTGGAGGAAGCTGAGCTCAGAGTAAGTCACTGATGCAAACCCCAGTTCCAGCTACAAAGGAAGAAACTGCAGTGCAAGCAGGTTTTGAGGCAGCACCACGCAAATTCTTAAGAAATAGTTATCACAGATCATTAAAACCTGAAAACAGCTGAAAGGGAAGCCAAGAAAAATCTGCAATTCAACAATAAAACAGCTTTAGAAATGGAGCAGGTCCTCAAAGCAGTGATGTAGCCGAGTCCTGACCTTATGTTTGAATCAAAACTTGGTCAGTACACTCACCTCAGTGCCAGGTTTCCCTGGTACAATTCCTGAAGGACGAAAGCAATGTAAGCTTTTCAACCAGGAGAGAGCAACAGATAAATTCCATCTGTCGAGGCTCTGTTTTCTGCAGGCACCAAAAAATGTCAAGGAACAATTTGTTGCCGTTTGTGTGAGGTTGTTAAGCAACATGAAACTCAAATATTGTGCCCATTCAGTTGGTTCTGGAGCAACCTAATTTGAGAAATGGAGAGAGTAACTTTGGTGTGATTCACAGGCTTGCACTGATTCAGTGTCCCAGGGCACATGAGGGTAAGAGCTGCACATGCAGCTCTTGCAGCTCTTGCACATGCCGTGGTTGGTTTGGGATCTGCCGTGGGAAGGTCGCAGCAGGTGTGGGAATGGGTGGTTCTGTGGCATCTCAGGATTATCAAGGAGACAGGATTACAGTATCCCTGATGTTGCCTGTTTTGGAGAGGTGTTTACAAGCATCAGCAGCACTTGGTGGTTGTAGCTGAGAACCTTCCAAAATCGTGGATCTGTCTGAAGCATTCCAGTGTTAGCAAGGAGGTGGTGGGGATGGAAACCACAGCACAGTTACAGGGAATAATACGTGGATTTCCTGTGGGAATTAGTACCAGAGTTCAGTGGTGGTGGAGTCTGGTCTTGATTTGGCACTGCCCAGGCTCCCCAGGGCAGTGGGCACGGCCCCAAGGCTGCCAGAGCTCCAGGAGGGTTTGGACAATGCCCTCAGGGACAGGGTGGGATTGTTGGGGTGTCTGTGCAGGGCCAGGAGCTGGACTGGATGATCCTTGGGGGTCCCTTCCCACTCAGGGTATTCTGTGATCCTCTGGTGTTAAGGGGAGGTGGGAAGTGGCCGGGAAGGCACTGAGGAGCCCTCACACCAGCACCTTGTCCCCAGGTGACACTGCAGCAGCATTGGGGGGTCGAGCTGCAGCTCTGGAGAAGGGCTGGGAGCGTTTGGTCCTTCCCGATGTGTTTGGGATGTAAAGCACAGGTGACACTGAGCCTGTTGTCGAGGGACAGGCCCACCAGAGGTGTCACCAGCACCTGCAGCTCAGCACAGACGTCCCACCTTGCTCGGACCCACCCGGGGCAGGCGGGGCCGGGGCTCGCTGCGGGGGCCCCGGGGGGGTTCCTCCACAGCGTCCCCCACCTCTGGTGTGTTCTGTCTCCCAGGTTGGACTTCAACGGGTTCTACACGGAGCGCCTGGAGCACATGTCGGCCGAGCGCAGCCAGAAGGCAGCGCCGCTGCTGCCCCGCCTGGCCGTGCCCGCCCAGTGAGCCGGGACCTCCCTCCACATCCACTGGGGGAACTGGAAACCGGCCGAGGGCTGTCCCGGAGACACGGGGGAACGTTCAGTCTCCTGAGTTGTGTGTAATGAAACTCGTTCTTCCGACAGGCTTTTTGTTAAGTCGTCTTTTTTTCTTTTTTTTACTGTGTTGTACAATGATGTGTCTGTGTGTTGTAAAATAAATTAAACAACAACAACAACAAAAAAATCAGGGTTATTTTGTCTGTAAACAGGGTGCAAGATTTTGTGGCTGCCCCATCCCTGGAAGTGTCCAAGGCCAGGTTGGACGGGGCTTGGAGCAACCTGGGCTAGTGGAAGGTGTCCCTGCCCATGGCAGGGGGTGGAATGGGATGAGTTCTGAGGGCCTTTCCAACCCAAACACTGTATGGGCTGAGCCCTCAGCAGAGGAGTTTCAGGGAGCCTTAACAAGAGTCATGCAGCTCTAAACATGGCCTGAGCCAGTTTGGGAGCAGGTGAGGTAGAGGCTGGAAGAGAAGTGTCTCCCGGGGACAGGGGGTAACCAAGACACATCCCCGGGACCAAGGGGCAAGAGTGGGAACCTGGGGACGTGTGTAAGGGCTGTGGGCACAGGGCTGAGTGCCCCTGGGAGTGACCTGCCCTTCCTCACTCCTTCACCAGGACCTTTGGAGTGCATTGGAGGGAAGAGCCAGGTTGTCTGTGCTCCATGGCTAAAGCTGGACCTCCAGGGAGAGGGTGGAGACCACCAGTGAGCACCGAGTCTCACCAGAAGTCATAGATAGTTATGAAATGCTCGTTTTTGAAACCAGTGCCCCATGGAACTCTCTGATGCCACGTGGACCCTCCCCAGTGTGCCACGGACCCTCCCCGTACCCCGTGAATCCTCCCCGGTGCACCGTGGGTCTTTCCCAGTTCTCCACGGACCTCCACGATGTCCCGTGGGCCATCCCCGGTGTCCCACAGACCCTCCCCGATGCCCCCTGGACCCCTCCCCGATGCCCCACGGCTCTTCCCGATGCCCCGTGGACCACCCTCAGTGCCCCGCAGCCCCCCGAGCCACCCCCCAGAAGCCCAGTGGACAGTCCCCCAGTGCCCCACGCGGCCCGGGATGTCCCGTGGGCAGCCCCCGAGGCCGCGCGTCCCCCCGCGGTCCCCCCGGTCCCCCCCGCCGTGGGCGGCCCGTCCCGGCCGCCCCGCCCCGTCCCGTCCGCGGGTGTCGGTGAGTCACGGCGGGCGGGGGCTGCCGGCGGCGCGGCGAGCGGGGGCACGGCGGGACCTCCGAGCATGGCCCCGCCGCTCCGCCTGCCGCTGCTGCTGCTGCTGCCGGCGCTGCTGCCGATGCTGCTGATGCCGCCGGCCCGAGGTGAGCGGGGGGGGTCCCCCGGGGGGTCGGCAGCCGCGGGACGGGGCGGGCGGGGAGTTCGGGGGGCGTGCGGCAGGAGCGCGGAGCCTCGGGGGTCCTCGGCGCGGGGCAGGGGTGGAGGCGCCGGGATGGAGGCGCCGGGATGGAGGCACCGGGATGGAGGCACCGGGGCACGGGGATGCTTTCCCCGGCGAGAACGAAGGGGACGCGCGGGGCGGCTCTCCGGGGGGAGAGGTCCCGGGAGGGCACCGCTGTCCTCACCGCCCCGAGGGCAAGGATGATGGGGAAGGGGCGCCCGGGGCCAGGCTCGCCCCCATGGGGACGCCCCCGGAGCCCCCCGGCCCCGCCGGTCCGTGGAGGCACCTCGGGGAGGATAAGAGGGTTCGCCACCGGCGGCCCGCGGAGAGCCGGGGGTCGCCCGTGACTCACCCGGTGAGGGGGCGTCTGGCTCCCACCCGTGGGCGAGGACCGTGGGCACCCCCAGGGCGAGCACCGTCCGACCCCGGCGTTGGGCGATCGCGGGGAAGGCGAAGGGTTTATGGCAGAAATTCTCCGCTCCGACATCCAGGGAGAGGCTGGGAGGGGGCTGAGCCACCCAGGCACCAGCCGCTCTCCCAAACAGCCCCCACAGCCGCCAGACGCCGAGTCACACGCGGCGGCATCACGATGGGGAGCTGGAAAACCTCCCTCCGTATTGGCGCACCGGGGGGTCGGCGGGGTTTTCCAGCCCCAAAGGGACTCGCTCTCCCGCAGGTGATGCTGAGCTGTCTGCGGGCGCCGGGCTGGGGCGGGGGGGTCGGAGCATCCCCGCAGCCCGTCAGGGGGTTGTGTTCCCAGCAGGTATTTCAGGACTTGCTATTTGGGCTCTTTCCTGCGCCTTCATTTTGGCTGCTTCCATTGCCCCCTGGCTTCAGACCCAAGGGAACGCCTGGAGCTGTGCCAGGGGAGGTTTAGGTTGGATATTAGGAAAAGGTTCTTCCCCCAGAGGGTGGTTGGGCACTGACCAGGCTCCCCAGGGCAGTGGGCACAGCCCCAAGGCTGCCAGAGCTCCAGGAGGGTTTGGATAGTGCCCTCAGGGACAGGGTGGGATTGTTGGGGTGTCCTGGGCAGGGACAGGAGTGGGACTGGATGATCCTTGTGGGTCCCCTCCAGCTCAAGATATCCTGTGACTGGGTTGTTCCTGGGCATCCTGCTCAAAGCCCTTTGGCTTTTCCCAGGTGCCACTGCCGGGCTGGCAGAGACACTCGCCCACGTCGAGAAGTACGAGACGGTGACGCCGCGAGAGGTGCCGGTGCCCCGGGGAAAGAGGGACCTCTCTGCACCTCGGGTGAGCAGCATCGATCAGATCAGCTTTTCCGGGCTGTTTTGGGTCCAATTAGGACCTTCAGAGGGTGGGGTGCCCTCTTGGAGGGAGGAAGGACAGCTTTCTCCTGCACTTTCTTTGGGGACGTGACCCAGCGGTGCCACCTCTTGCAGCCTTGCAGTGATCTTGTGACATCTGGTCTTTCCTTAAGGAAGGGTTTGAGAAGCCTCGTGGAGCTGTAAGCACTTTTCTTGCTGTGTTTGCTAGAGTTCATGGCTTTTTTTTTTTGTCCCTTGGGACAGAGAAATAAAAATCAGAAAGTTGCAGAAATCCACATGAAAGAAAGCCAGTGCTGTTTTTCTTGGGAAACCTGGCAATTTGGGGGAAGGAATGGGGTTTGAGTCAGGAGTTTGGAGTGCTTGGTGTTGATGTCAGTAGGATGATGGGCTTGCCCTCAAACTTTCCTCATTGCCTTAAAGGGAAATTCAGCCAATCTTTTTTTTTATTAATTTTCTAGACACGAAAAGCACCGATTTTAGTGCCTGAGAGGATGGACAAGCTGGGGACACGTATTCCCTAGTGCCATGCAGCACGTCCCTCTGTGATTCAAACCCTTCCTGATAAACTAGCTTCAAAAACACTCCCCAAAAGCATCTGCTTTCCCTGCTCTAGAAACCTAAACTTGTCCACGAGATAAACATTCCCCAGGCTATTTAGAGACGCCATCTGTGCCGGGCGGCTCCGCACGATCCCCCTGGAAAGGGCAGCTCACCCATCCCGGGATCCCTCCGGGGAAGACATCTGCCTTGAGCTGTGTGCTTTGGGACTGCCAGGGGGCTGCCTGCTGGGTGGCACCTGCATTTGGGCTTGGCTTGGGTGGCCCTTGGAGATCCCAAACCTGCCGTGTTGAGGGGACGAGGTCTCCTGCCTTCCAAGGCGTTTTCCTCCTCTTGGGGAGAGGTTGGGTTTGCTCTCCTGGTAACCTGGATGGAGTAAAGGTTCCCAGCGTGGCTTGACCACCACCAAACCCCTCTCTGACATAGAGGCGGGTGTTCCTCATGCCCTGTAGCTGTCTCTGGCTGGGACAGACGTGGGCCAGGAGCTGACTCCTGGTTCGGAGTGGCTGGGACACATGGGATCAGTCCCTCAGAGCACCTGCCCAGGTGAAGGTTGAAGCACACCAGCTCCCCTCTGGTTTTGACTAAATCCAAATGTTCACCCCTGCAGACAGGGTGGAGACCTGGATCCTGCAGGGCAGGATCTCCTGGACAGCAGCTTTCCCATCAGTCACAGGCTTTTCAGCATGTGGCACATCTGGATTCTTCATGGAAAGGGACCCAGAAAAGTGATCCCTGTCCCTACTGCAAGGCCTGTTGCCCCTTCCCATCCAGGGAAGAAACACCCTGTGCTGGGATGGGAGGGGACATCCCATCCCCATCCTCTGCAAGGTCTCTGGGTCTCTTCCTGAGCCCAGCTGGAAGAAATCCCTCCTCTCTCTGTGCTGTGGCCGTGGCTCTGCTGTGCTGGCTCAGCACAACCAGGGGGCTCACAGGGCAGCTCCCAAAGCCTTCCCATCTGGAACCCTTGCACAGCCCATGCTAATGAGGAGGGGGGTGACTCAGAGAAGCTTTATCCAGACTTTTTATTTTAAACTTGCCCTGCGGTCGTCTCCAAGAGACGGGCCCTGACCCACCACCCCCTTCCAAGTGCTTTCCTGCCATTCCTTAAGACCTCTTCTGGCCCTGGCTTTGCCAACAATAACAAAGGATCTCTTTGTTGGCGGACACGGGACAGGACGGCCACGTCTGGAGGGAGACGCTGTTCATGAGAGAAGAATTTTCCAGGGGGCCAGGAGCGTGCTGGGACACCAGCAGGGCTGGGAATGCAAACCAGGTACAATCCAGGGCAGCTGAGTGACAGGCAAACCCTCTCACCTGGCCCCGCTGGTGCTGAGTCAGCCCCGGCTCCTTGCAGGGTGCAGATCAGCCCCCTGGGAGCGCTGAGCCATGGGATGACAGCGGGTGCTGTCATCCTTCCCGGGGAGAGGCAGCACACCTCATCCCTGAGGAATGCTGGCCCCGGGGGAAAGGCTTGCTTTGCCTTTGGCTCAGCTCTCCACACCTGGGTCCTGTAACAGCTGAGGATGTGCCCTCAGGAGAGGTGGATGTGCCCTCAGGACAGATGGATGTGCCCTCAGGAGAGGTGGATGTGCCCTCAGGACAGATGGATGTGCCCTCAGGAGAGGTCTCAAAGTGGCTGAGGAGGTCCCTGGTGCCAAGCCTGACATGGGGCACTATGAAAGGGACTGTCAGTCTCTCCCAGCAGCCCCAGTGGGACAGGGCTCTGGAGGTCTGTGTCCCAGCCCCTGCAGGTGGAGATCACAAGACATCCCAGAGGGAAACACTTTTTCTGGAGGAACAGCTCCATCCCGAGGGTTCAGGACCCAGCTGGCTGAGCCACGGCCACCCTGTCCCAGCCACAGTGACAGGAGGTTGGGCTTGAGGTGCCTTGAGGTCCCTTCCACTGGCACCAGGGGATCTGGGTCGTGGTGATGCTAAAATCTGCTCCCAAAGGCTGAGGAGGACCAGGGGAAGGTTGTTCTCTAACGGTGGCATGTCAGATTAGTCAGGGAGGAGGAAGTCACCGCTGATAAGATCCAGAGGGATCTTTGTGGTTCAGCTGGTGAGTAAGTGCTGAACTCAGCCCCCAAAAAAGGAGCTCTGTGACTGATGAGTAGGAAACCTCAGCCCCTGGCACGGCCATCTGCAGCCATGTGTCAAACACGGGAAACCAGGCTTTGCTGACTCCGTCTCTTTGCGGGTGACCTGTTCTTTATCTCAGGATGTGCCGGGGATTTGCGTTATTGCCCACATGCTTTCTTCCTTCTCTTCTGATTTCCTGTGTCTTTGCTGGATGCCTCCAGGGGGAGCAGCCAGGCTCCCCCCCGTCCCGCAGCCGCCCTCAGAGGGGCACAGCAGACCCCGTCCCCTTTCTGGGCAGGGCGGGGGCCGAGGGGCCTCTCCCGTGTAGCCCTCGCTCCTGCTGACGGGGGGTCTCTGGTGGCTCCTGTCTCCCTTGCAGAGCTCGTACCCGGACCGTGTCCTCTACAGCGTCCGTGCCGAAGGCAGGGAATACCTCCTGTGGCTGGAGAAGAACAGGTGAGTGCAGGTGGGCACGGCAGGGAGGCTGGGAGGGGGACTTGCATCCCACCCTTGCCGTGAGCATCCATTCTCCCGGGTCTGCTGTCGCTGCACCAGTGACCTGAGCCTCAGCCCAAAACCCGCGCGGGGAGGGCACGGTCCCACCGCACCCACCCTGACCAAGCTCATCCCGAAGCTTTCCATCCTCTCCCCCGAAGCGGGGTCGCTGCTGACGCCCCTCCCCGTCCCGCAGAGCGCTGCTGGGGCAGCACTACACCGAGACACACTACTCTGCCGACGGCGCGGAGGTCACCGAGCGGCCGGACACGCAGGTACGGGCTGGCTGCGGGGGAAGCAGCCGGACACGCAGGTACGGGCTGGCTGCGTGGAAGCAGCCCCCCCGCTCCTGGGGGTCCCGTCCTGCCGACAGCCCCACACCTCTGCTCTCTCCCGGTGCCAGGATCACTGCTTCTACCAGGGCCATGTGCGGGGCCACTCCGGCTCGGCAGCGAGCGTCAGCACCTGCCGCGGGCTCAGGTAGGACCCCCGGGCACCGCCCAGCTCCCAACCTGGCCCTGGCACACGGCCACGGTGAGCTGGTGTGGCTGAGCACAGCCAGAGCCGGGCCGATGGAGGGAGAGCTCAGCTTTCCCTGGCGGAAGAGAAGATGACATCCCTTTTCCTGCTGGAGGCGCTGCCCCCGGCTCGGTGCCCAGCAGGAAAGGCACACGGCTCTTTGGGGGGGCTGACTCACGGCAACGGGGTGAGACTGGAGACCTGAGCACCACAGAGCTCCGGGCAGGAGTGCCCTCCCTGGGCAGCAAGGCGCAGCTTGTCCCTGATCCATCCCAAATCGTTCAGTCTCTGAACCTCGGGACATTCCTGCTGCCCCAAGTACTGGATACTCCCCGTGCTGTGGGTGCTGTGCCACAGTTTACCCCCTCCCAGCCCAGCAGCCAGTTTGGCAGCTGTATTTTCACGGAATCATAGAATCCCAGAATGGTCTGGGTTGGAAGGGACCTTAAAGCTCATTTCATTCCACCCCTCTGCCATGGGCAGGGACACCTTCCACTAGCCCAGGTTGCTTCAATCCCCATCCAAGCTGGCCTTGGACACTTCCAGGGATGGGGCACATGTACAGGCACTTTCAGGGGTGAGTGTGGGGTCTGTCCGTGTCCTGCTGGATATCTCCCCAACCTGATGCCCGCCCTCTCTCTCTCCAGCGGGTTTTTCCGGGTGAATGAGACCACGTTCCTGCTGGAGCCGCTGGAGGGGGCCGTGTCGGGCCGGCACGCCCTGTACCGAGCCGCTCACCTGCGGGGGAAGCGCCGCGCCTGCCGCGAGTCCGGGCACACCCTGGAGTACGACCGCGAGCCGAAAATCCCTGCAGCCATGAAGCTCCACCGCTGGGTGAGGGATTGCATTGCTTCTCCTTCCCGTAGCCAAGTTTGCAGGGGCCTGGCTCCTGTGCAGTCCCCTGGGGGTTCCATGCCTTTGGAGACGCCCCCCCTCCCATGTGCTGTCGGTTGGGTACCCAAATACAGGCGGCTCCTGATGGGAATGGGTCCTCGGATCCTGTACCATCATCAGGAGCATCCTCCTACCCCGTGAGCTCCGTGATGCCTGCAGAGCCTGTCTTGTGGCTTATCGCAGTAGCAGGCTTACATTTTCCAGCATATAAGCTGGAAGATGTCTGAAACACCCAGAGAGCCGAGTGAGGAGACCTGCTGGCCTTGGAAGATACCCCAAAACCCAACACATCCCGTGGCAGGGTCAGCTGCCTGGCTGGGCAAGCTGCAAGCCAAGCCTCACTTTCCTCTTCCCTTGCAGAAGTCGGGTCCGATACACAAAGGCCCCCGGTACGTGGAGCTGGTCCTGGTCGCGGATAACGAGGAGGTAAATGGGGTGGGGGGCGAGCTGCTGCCTGTGGGTTTGCTGCCATCCTCTGCACTGAGGGGCCCAAAGCCAGCCTGGAAATCTCTCTGTGTCCTTCCCATAGTTCAGGAAGCACAAGGACCTGCGCACGGTGCAGAACCGCATGAAGGAAATCGTGAACCACGTGGACAAGGTGAGCCCTCCCAGCTCCCACACGTGTCCTGCAGTGCCAGCATGGACAGAGGTGGCAGAGGAGAGGTTGGCACGGGTGGGGCGGTGGAGCTGGAGCTGATCTCAGGCCCGTGGGTGGGCTGCTGCAGGGCGACCACATCCCTTGGCCAACAGGGTGTGCAGGGTGGACACGACGAGAGGCTCAGCCCTGTCCATGAGGGAAGGGGGGGAAACTTTGTCCTGTAAAGCCTGGGAGCACATCCCACAGCCACTCTCATGGTGGAGTGGGTGCTAACAAGGGGATCCCCATGGTGGGGTTCCTGCTTGCCTTGCTTCAGCTTCGCTTGTTGTTTGGCACCATGGGAGAAGCATCCCAGCCTTCGCCAGCCAAGAGGGAGCTCAGAGGTGCCAGGGGAAACCCTGTTTACATGGTCACCCCTTGTGTTGTTTATTGAGGGGGACAGAGCTGATATTGTGCAGTGAGGGGGCTCCTGGGCTCGGCTGCAGTTCTCTGGGGGAGGTGGGACCTTCCCCCTGCTGCTGCAGCCCAAATCCAAGTGCTCTCCCCGGGCTGTCTCCCACCCCAGCTCTACCAGCCCCTCCGCCTGCGGGTGGCCCTGATTGGCTTGGAGGTGTGGAACCACAAGGACAAAATCACGGTCAGCCCCAACCCAGAGGTGACGCTGGACAACTTCCTGCACTGGCGGGAGTCGGAGCTGCTGCGGAGGAAACCGCACGACAACGCCCAGCTGATCACGTAAGGACGGGGGGCCACTACCTCTCCAACCCTCCCGGCCCTGCCGCCGCCCAGGGCACGTGGCCATGGCACCTCCATCCCACAGGGGCATCGACTTCCACGGCAAGACCGTGGGGCTGGCCAAGAAGCTGGTGATGTGCACCAGGGACTCGGGCGCTGTCAGCCAGGTGGGTCCCCTGCCCGGGCACGCACCAGCAGGGCAGCAGCAGCACCACACTCTGCCCTCCCTGTGCTGTGTTTGCCAGAGCCACTTTCCTCCACTGGTTTCTGGCTTTCCTCCTCTGCAGCCTTAGGGCTGGATTTGGTCCCTGGCACTTCTGACCCTTGAGTGACTGATGCCCAGAGAAGGGTCAGGGCTGTGGACACCCAGCTGGGTACCTGTGGAGGGCTCTGATACACCTGAAGAGCCTCCCAGAGCAGCTCCATGGACACAGGGTTTCTCCAACCGCCCATCGGGTGGCCAGGGCTTGGTTTGCAATTCAGCTGTCCTGGCTGTGCTTCCCATCCCTCCTCAGGTCTGTGGGAGTGGGAGCAGTCAGCCGTGGGACCAGTGGCAGTCCAGCCCCACCACAAATCACTGCTTTGGAGAAGTCGCTTTGTCTGAGCTCCCTGAGAGCCCCGAGACTCCAGTCTGGGGCTCCTCAGGGGCCATGGGACCACATCCAGCTCTGGTTTTCCTTTACCTGAGCACGGCAGCGTGAGAGACCTGGTGCTGAGCCCTGGTGGGCCCCTGGGGATGCTGTGGGGAAACCACAAGAGCATTTCACCCACCCTGCACTCCTCGTCCCGCAGGACCACAGCACCAACCCCATCGGTGCTGCATCCACCATGGCCCACGAGATGGGGCACAACCTGGGCATGTCCCACGACGAGGACGTCCCCGGCTGCCACTGCCCCGTCCCCAAGGCTGACGGAGGATGCGTCATGGCAGGGAGCGTTGGGTGAGCGAAGGAGGAAGGGGAACATCCCTGGGCAGCAAACGTGTCGAGGCGTCCTCAGGCACTGTCCCAGTGGGGTGAAACCTGTGAGATGGGTGGGCATTCCATTCCATTCCACCCCACCCCACCCCACTGCAGATGCCTCTGAGCCTCTCGATGTCCCCCCAGCTCCCCCCCCTGGGCTGGCGGGCACCAACCTGGGCTCACGAGCGCCTGGTTTTGTGCCCCCCAGCCTGGTTTACCCGAAGCTGTTCAGCCGCTGCAGCGAGCAGGACATGTGGCAGTTCCTGGGGGACCCCCGGACCAGCTGCCTGCTGAACGCCCCCCGGGCAGACGAGCTGTACGGGGGGCCCGTGTGCGGGAACCAGTTTGTGGAGCGGGGAGAGCAGTGTGACTGCGGCACACCCGAGGTGGGGCTGCTCTCCGAGGGACTGGGGAGGAGGGTGGAGGGCAGACACCTGACACTTGTCCACCAGACTCTTTTCTTGCTTTGCAAGACTCGTCTCCCTTGTGTTCCTGATGCTTCTGCCAAAAAACAACTGGTGGGGTGTATTCACTAACTGTGGGCCCCCCTTTATGTAGCTGGCTGGGATTTTAGCCTAGGAAAGGTGGATGTTCCCCCTATGTGTCCTCCAAAGAAGTGGCCCAGGAGGGGACATCATGGCATGTTGTCCTTCCAAGAGCTGCACTCAGCTGTTCCTCATCCCCACCATGGAGGGGATTTAAGACAGCTGGGCGATGCCTCTGGGACAAATCCCTGGTCACAGCCTGCACTGGGACCTGAAGAAATGCTCCCCTGAAACAGGGAGCACAGAGATTCTCCCCTTTTCTCCTTCCTGGAGACGTGCAAGGACACCTGGCCAGGCCCACTCCTCTGCAAAAACCCCTTCAGGTCCTTTGGTTTGGTGTTGGCAATGGGGGTAAAGAGGCAGCAGGAATGGTTCCCACGCAGGGTGATGCTGTGGGTTTGCCCCGTGGCTCAGCCCGTGGTGGCTACAGTGCTGTTGGCAGCTGGTGACGTGGCAACCCAGTCCCCCAGGGAAGGGTCTTTCGGGGGGCTCCCGGGAGGTTTTCAGTCCATCCCTGTCTTGCAGGAGTGCTCGGATCGCTGCTGCAATGCCTCCACGTGCCAGCTGAGAGAGGGAGCTCAGTGTGCCCAGGGGGAATGCTGCCAGGACTGCAAGGTACTGCTGCCCACAGGGGACCAGCTCGTCGGGGAAGGGAGCTGGCGGCTGCACAGAGTGCACTGTCAGAGTGTCTGGATCCATGGGAGGCTGGGAGACGTTTCCCAGACCAGGGTTTGCTGTGCCGTGGTGCCCGCGTGGCTCTGGAGCTGTGAGAGCATCCAGGCAGTGCTGACATCCCCTTTTCCGTGCAGGTGAAGGCTGCAGGTGTGCTCTGCCGGGCCAGCAAGAACGACTGCGACCTGCCCGAGCGCTGCACCGGCCTCAGCGCCGAGTGCCCGGAGGACGTGTTCCAGGAGAACGGCATCTCCTGCCAGAACGGCAACGGATACTGCTACAACGGGGGCTGCCCCTCGCACGGCGAGCAGTGCCGGGCGCTCTGGGGTGCAGGTAGCGGCCCCCCCTCCTCGCCCCGCCTGCTGGGGGATGTACCTGGAGCCCCTCGGGCTGCGCCTGGAGCCCCTCGGGCTGTGGTGCCCTCCTGCATGAGCTGGGGCGCTGCTGCTGGTCCTAAAGTGTGGCCAGTGGTGCCAGCGCCTCCAGCTCGCTGCGCCTCCGTGTGACCCTTCCCGCGTGTCCCGCAGAGGCCCAGGTGGCTCCCGATGTCTGCTTTAAGCACAACAGCGAGCATCACCTCCACCTGCACTGCCTCACCGAGTACGGGAAGCGGCCCTGCAGCCCCAAGTGAGGACGGGGGTCTGGGGGGGGGACTGTCCCTGCCCGGGCGAGCTGCGGCACCGCCGGTGCTCAGGGCTGCGTGTCCCGCAGGGATGTGAAGTGCGGGACGCTGCTGTGCCTCAGCGACAACTCCAAGCCCATCCTCGGCAGCGGCTACTTCTCCTTCGGCCACTACTCCTTCGGCCGCTTCAACTGCAAGGCGGTCATCGCCGACGGCGAGGTGGCCGCCGAGCTCCGGCTGGTGCCCACCGGCGCCAAGTGCGGGGACGAGATGGTGAGTGCCGGGGCGGCGAGGGATGGGTGACCACGGGGCCAGGGCGGCCTCAGAGCCCCCCCTGCCTGCCCCGGGGCAGCCTCAGAGCCCCCCTGCCCGCCCCCAGGTCTGCTATGCCGGGCGCTGCCAGAGCCTGCTGGTCTACGGCGACAAGAACTGCTCGGCCAAGTGCAACAACCACGGGGTAGGCGGTGGGATCGCCCTCCCGCAGGGCTCAGTCTCGGAGCCTGCAGCGTGCCCATCACCCTGACGCTCCCCTCCCTCATCCCAGGTGTGCAACCACCGGCGGGAATGTCACTGCGACCCGGGCTGGGCAGCGCCCTACTGCGAGCAGGAGATTTCGGGGATAGCCCCAGGTATGGCACCCCCGGCTCCCCCGGCCCGATGCGGGGAGGGAGCCTGGGGAGGGGCTGCTCCATCCCCAGGGGGTGTCCCGACCCCAACCGCCCTGTCCCCGCAGGGAGCAGCAGCGTGGTCCTGGCGGCCGTGCTGGCCGTGCTGGCACTGGCCAGCGTCCTGCTGGCCGGCGGCGTGGTGCTCCTCAGAGCCAGGAGCTTCCAGAAAGGGTAATTCCCTCCTCCCGCGCCCCGCTGCGGGGCTGAGCTCCAGGGGTACCTGGCACACGGCTGCCACAGCCACGCTGTCCCTGTGCCCACAGGAGCTCTGCCACGGGCCTCGCCAACCCGCTGTTCCAGGAGGGCGGCCGGGCACGGCCCCCCCGGCGGCTGCTGTCCCGCCAGGACATCGGCCAGCCCAGCCTGCTCAGCAGCACGGTGGCCCCGCGGGCGGCCCGGGCGCTGGAGCCCCGCTCGCCCAGCCCCGTGCTGACCCTGCGGCCACCCGTGGGGACACCTCCGGCCTCTCCGGGATGGCCCCCGCAGGTAACCAACCACCCCCCCGAGGCGGCCCCCAGCCCCAAGTGCGTGGCGTGGCTCTGGGGGGCCCTTCCTCTGCCCCCTGCCCCTCTGCGGGTCCCCCCGGAGCCCCGGTGAGGGACTCGGGTCTCTCCTCCCGACAGGCGAAGCCGAAGCCGCCCAGCAAACCTCTCCCGGTGCTGAAGGGCAGGGCGCTGTGCCACGGCCAGGGACCACCAGGACCGGCCCTCCCACCCGCACCCCCGTCGGCCTTCCAGCGGGGCGTCCCCCCAAAGGTGCCCCTGAAGCCGCCCCCAGCCCGGAGGTGACCCAGGACACCCCCTCGGCCGGCCCAGGAGGGCACAGGGGGCGGGTGGCACAGCCGGGCAGCCGCCGTCTCGCTTCCACCCTTACTTGAATTGCTGGCCCGAGCCTCCCCCGGGGGGGCACCAGTGTTTACAGATCCGTGTTGTGCCTTACTGGACTCCGCAGCCCCGTGGCTGTCCCAGGGAGAGCCGCCGGCCGGGGTTTCCCAAGGAAACCAGGAGCGGGACAGTGCCAGCTCCGGTTTTGATGCCAGCCCCGCGTCGGTCCAGGCTCTCCCGCGCCCTGGGAGCCGCTGCCTTCTCTCCTGACGTCCTGAATGTGTCCTGCTCCTCCTGCCCCTTCCCTGCTGGGGCCACGGCGAGGAGCTCCTGGAATCCCAGGCAGGAGGAGCACTGCTCCGTGGGGACCGTGCCCTGGGAACACTGCCCTGGCCGGGGACATCACACAGGGAGATGTCACCAGAGGCTCTGGCAGGTCCAAGCCAGGCTTGGTTTCCCCACGGGGCTTTTATCTCTCAAGTCATCCCTGGAGTTACTGTTCTGAAAGGGAATTCCCTGGGAGCCTTTTTCCTGCAGCCATTAATTTATGACCCCTATGCGACCGTTTCGAGCCACCTGCTGTGAAAACAGGCCTCCCATTTTTGATATAATTTAGGTTGAAGGCTTTTATACCAATAAAGACTGAAGGTAGTGGTGTCACGGGGTGTCTCTGGGCAGGAGGGGACAGTGAGGTGGCAGCAGGCAGGGAGCTGTGTGGGGATCAGGGGAGGGGGAGAAGGGTTGGAGCTGAGCTCCCCAGTCCTGTGCCAGAGCAACAGGGGCCAAACAGCAGCAGGTTCTGGCAGTCACACAGAGGAGGCTGCCCAGGGGCTGCAGGATACTGCAGTGATTCCCCCGTGCTCAGCACCATCCTGGCCGTGGTTTACTTTGAGCACAGGCAGCTCATGGGGCTCCCAGGGTGGCAGTGGCTGCAGCTGAGGACAGCACAGCGTCACTGCGGGGTGAGAGGTAGAGGGGGACCCCACTCCATGTGCCTACAGTGACACCAGCCTCAGGACACATAAAACCACTCAGAAAAATGGTAACAAAATAATTTTATTCTGCTTTATCAAAAGAACTCAACCCCGTGAATGTAAACCTGACCATATGTATCGTGTTTCCTTAAGGAGATGCGGATCCAGGGGCAGACCCCTTTAGTCACAGGCCCACACAGGCCCTTGGAACGGAGAGAAAAGCCAGTTCTAACCCACAGTCCCATGTCCCTGCTCACACCTGGGGCTCAGAGGGAAGCACAGCCGTGGCAATCCCCCCCTGCACACCTACTGGGGCCTCTGCAGCAGCGGCTGGGCAAGCAGGGAGGGAGGGAGGGAGGGAGGAGGCTTTTGCAGAAGGCACCGAGCATCACACAGGCTGCTGCAGGACTTGGGGCTACAGGAGCATCCCCCAGGGTCCCTCAGAGCAGGCTGATGTCACCCAGCCAGAGCAGGGGGACACTGAGCCAGTGACAGCCACTCAGGATAAAGCCATGCACCCACCTGGATAGTGCAGGGAGGCCCAGCAAGGCTCAGGTCCAGAGGGAAGCAGCCCTTCCTGCACTGGCCTGGAAGGTTTTCCTGCTCCCTGCACGGGCACCTTGCTCTGGTGGCTGCAGGAGAGCTGTGAGCTGCCTGGTTATTGCTCCCAGCAGCTCCCCTCGTGCCCCTGTCACCTCCAGGCTGGCAGAACCTACCCTGTCCACCCATTCCTGATGCCCAGTGTCCAACCCCAGTAACACATGGAGAACAAGCCTACATCCCTGCCAGCATCCCCTCCAGCAGTGCTTCTGCTCTATAAAGTCTGCCCTCATCCCAAAATCCAAGTGAAGTGGGTGCTGCCAGGTGAGGAGAGGCCGTGCCCCCATGCCAAGGGCCTGCTGCACCATGGAGGAGGTGGCAGCTCAAAGATGTGACTCCACTGCCTCCTCAAAGCCCTTCCCACGGGAGAAAGGGGACCCTGCAAGTCAAACAGCACTTCCAGGAGACATTTCAAACACCACAGCTACAAATTACACTGCCCTTCCTCTCCTCACTGGTGCCCCGAGTCCCTGGCTCCTGCCATGGCTGGGTTGGAAGGGGAGCTGGTATTCTGGAGCAGAGCACCAACTGGGCCTTGGGAGTTTGCAGCCAGATAGAGGACAGACAGACCCCCTGAAACTGCTGCCAAGTCCCACAGTCCTGTCCTACCCTGCAGAAGGGGCAGGTCCAACACATCCCTGCTCTGCCCCAGACATGGAGGACAGGGAGCCAGGGCAGGAGCTGAGACAGCACGAGGCACCACGTGTTACCAAACTTCCTTGAGGAGACACTGCCACCCTCCAAGCAGAGCCACGTGTGGTGGGAACACAGCACTGCAAAGCCTGAAGCCCACACAACCCGTCTGGGGACATCATCAGCACAGGTAAAGCTCAAGCCTCTTGTTTTGGGTTGAATGTTTCACCGTGGCAAAAGCTGAACACGTCCCTCCCGTTGCCACGAGGCTGCAGATGGTGCCAGGGACACAAGATCTCAACAGGCAGAGTGTCTGGAGGGCCAGCACAGCAGATCCTCCTGCCAGCACTGCCCAGGAGAAGCCTGAAGTCCTCCTGCCCTGCAGCAAACCTGTCCAGGGATGAGAGGCCCAGGGACACACTCTCACCACGGCTGTTCAAGGTCCCACTTCTTGGAGCAGTGGATTCTGCACGGGGGAGCAGCGATGACTCACCTGCTTTGCAGCTGAGGTGTCAAACATCTGATCTGCTGCACCGCAGGGTCCCTTCACTCTTCTCTTCCCCTTTACCTTGCCACCACAGCAGAGCAGTGGAAGTTCAGCCCCCTTCCCCTGCTGACCTAGAGGAAGGCTGGGATCTGAGCAGAGATTTCCCAAGTTGGGATCTGAGCAGAGATTTCCCAAGCTCTGTTCCCAACCAGCTGCTCCGAGGTGCTCCTGAAATCTGGTTTAGGATGCAAGGTGAACCCCAGCCACGCAGCTGTAACACCCTACAGTCAGTCCCAGGCAGCCAGTGCAAGGCTCTTGCTTGGAGAGGGGAGTTGCAGAATCCCATCGGAGATCACCTGCTCCGAGTCGTTACCTAGTGCTGCTGTCTACAGGAACATTATGGCTATGCAGATCCTATTCCAGTAACCTATTCCACACCAAACCATTCCTTGCCCTGAGCAGGAACACGCTGGCCAAGGAGAGCCCACTCCACGGGAGTCCTTGAGGAGAGTGAGAGAGCAGCGGCAGGAACCTGCCTGGAGTCCACCAAGTGAAGCTTCATGGGCAGGATGAAGGAAACCTCCTCTTCGCTCGGCCTCAGCCAAGAGCACGGGGAACGACCAGGGTGCAGCAACACAGCACTCAAAGCCACATCTCCTGCCTCCAGAGCAATGCCTGCTAAATAACTGCACCTACCCCGGAAGCCTTTCCTGGCGCCTGTCTTTTAATATTCCAGTATAGGTATGTTAGTACAGGATTATCCCTCCTTTGGAAGCACCAATTTAACAGGGGAAGAAACGGAAGAGGCAGAGCCCTTGCAATCTGTTGCTAGAAGAAAATCAACCCAACTGCCACCTATACACAAGATGTCCAGGCGGGTGCTGCGTCCGCCCCACCAGCCCAGGGCCACGTCCCCGACCACAGCCGGGCTTTGCTGCTGAGCCACACCGGGATTCCTCCTCCCTCCTCAGCCAGTGCTTCCCTTGCCTCTGAGCTGGCTGTCTCCAGAGGTCTCCGGGGCCTCCTGTGCAGGAAGGCTGGTTTGGTGGGCAGTCCTCGGGCTGGCCTGCTGGAAGGCACAGGACTCCAGGAACACGCCGGGGATGCGGTCACCGAAGTACAGTTTGCTGTTGGCGGCTATGGCCTGGTACTTCATCAGCTCCAGGTACTCGGGGGTCAGCTTCAGCTACAGGAACACAAACAGGGGCTGTCAGACACAACTTTTTGGGTGCTGCATCACTGAATACTGCGTCAGGCCTTCTGGGATGCAGGCTGTTAAATCAAGTGTTTTTCCAGTGCTGCCCACCTGAAGCTCACCTCCCGTGCAGAGGGAAGGAGGGAGTGAATCCTGTCCTGACCAGCTCCCCAGTGCTCACCTTGTTGGCATCAGCCAGCTTCCGAGCAGTGTAGTACTCAGCATCAGCTTTGGCCTTCTCTCTTGCCAGGAACGCAGCATCTAACACGGCAGCAGAGGATGGACAGGGAAAAAAGCGTTAGGAAGTGACCAGTCCCACCACACTGAGCACCTGAGCCCTCATCCCATGGGGACCAGCTGACCCAGGAGTGCCCCTGACAGCTTGGCTGGTCCTGCACCCGCCCTGTGGCTTCCTGGAGCATTCCCAGTGCACAGCCTTGCACTGCTGCACCCTGGGTGAGCTCTGCAGCACAGCCTGTGAGCCCAGGCCTGAGGTTCCCCCACCTGCCATCCCCCCTCAGCTGCAAAATGACCCAGCACTGCAAGTTACCCTCGATCTCGGAAATCCGCTTCTCCGTTTCCTTCTCCATAATCTTCTGTTGGTAGTGGATCCTGGCCACCTGGGCAGCCTTCTCTGCCTCTGCAATCACAACGGGCTCGGCTCAGCAATTTGCTTCTCAGGGTGTGAGCACCAGCACCCCGACCCAGCACCTCACTGCAGGATCTGCCACACCAGGTCTGTTCCCCTCTCCCTCCCTTCCTGCTCGGATCCTACAGTGCCAGCCTGGACTCCAGGAAGAAAACCCAGTGCTGATGTCTCCAGAGCTGATATCCCGTTTCCCAGGGTGATCCCCCTGGCACACTGAGCTCCAAGCCCAGTTTTTCCAGCGGAGTGGCTGCAGGACAGAGGTGCTCACTACTCTGCTGCCACGGGAGGGAGGTGGGACAGAGATACAGCAGCAAAGACACTCGGATTTTCAAAATGACTCCTGGTGCAGCCTGGCTGTGCCTCCCTCAGTTCCCAGGGAGTGCAGGAATGGCAGCTCAGCCTGTCCTGGTCACATACCAATGATGGCTTTCTTCCGCTCTGTCTCTGCCTCCTTCTCCACCACCTTCTGCCTCTGGGCTGCAATGAGCAGCTTGGTCTTCTCAGCCTCCCTGCAAGGGGAGAAACATTATCCTGGGGAAAGGGAGATGGGGAGCAGCTCTGCAGCTGAGGGCAGGAAAGACCACGAGCAGCTGCCAGCCCCCTGTTCACAGCCACGGGACTGGTTCTGTCTGCAGCTGTATGAGCACAGCACAGCCAGTGGGCCAAAGGAAGGGATCACCCCCCTCCCCATTTGGCACTGGTGAGGCCACATCTGGATGCATGGGCAGCCTGAGGCCCTCAGGACAGGGAGTGAGCCCAGTGCAGGGCTGCTGGGAGCTGGGTTGGCTCAGCCAGGGACAGGGAGGTGAAGGGAGATCCAACAGCATCTCCCCCTGCTCCAAAGGGGTCTCAGAGATCCCGGAGGGGAACTTATGGGCAAGATACCAAGAGCCCTGAGCCCTGATTTCAGTCTGGAAACAGAGAAACAGAATCCACAAGTGCACCTGGCCTGTCCAGAGCTCCCCTCTCACTCTCTGAGCAGCAGGGAAGAGTTTGCCAACAGCACCGTGCCTGTCCTGCACCCTCACAACTCATTCACACAACTGTATGTCCAGCTACTCACATCAGCTCAAAATTCCTTCGGATGGCCTCTGGAATTTTGGGTTTTGTGACACGCACAGC